GTTATGTTAATAACCAGATCCTTTTTTGAAAGAGCCATGTATTGGTCCATCTAAACGTAAATTAAAAAAAAAAAAAAAAAAAAAATTAAATACATTGCATAATTCGCTAATAAAATTTCTGTAATTACCAATTTCATAATACTTACCTCTAAGCTCTCATAAAAATCGCCAACCTCACATAGTTCCATTAAAAACTTATTTAGTCTTTGTTTATTACTTTCAACAAAGGGATTTAACATAATCATATATTCTTCTTTCAAATAAGTTGGTTTGTTTACAAGATTTTGCAATACTTTTGCAATCTTTAAATGAAGAAAAAAAAAAAAAAAATCAGAATACATCATGAAAATACTAAAATGAAATCCAATTACATAAATACCAGAGTCAACGTCCGTCGTGGATGCTTTCCCGGTATACCTTCTACTAGCATATATGCTTGTGGAGTGACAATTGCCGGATTCACAAACCGGAGGAAGAAAAACCCACCGATTAATGTGCAGATGGAGTATTCTGAACAATCAACATATTTTCTCTAAATGAACAAAGTAATAATAATAATCATGATGAAACAATTTGCAAAAGATATAAATCAAGGACGAAAACGAATAAATTAATTTACTTTTGTTAACGACCGAATTTGCTTGCAAATCCATCGTATACCATAAGGAGTTTGTTCGATAGAGTCCATTATTGTTTGAAGGAAAGAATTTGCAATCTCCATTAACATTTTTATTCGAGGAGCTATAATAGCCTGTACATCGGGATTCGCAGCAGCAACTTCTGACGTTACACTGCGAGGAAGATCCTCAGGTAATGGTTTATTTTCTTCTTCATATTTTTTTATCATTTGTTCATAAACCTACAAAAATAATAAATTAATGAAAGTGTTTTGATAACCTTAAATTGAACAATATAAATGTATGAAAAGAGAAATTTCAAAAGCGTACGTACTTTTAAAGGATTTATTTCAAGGTTTAAATCTTTGTGTTCTATCAGGTTGTTAATTCGTTCTGATAGTACTGACTTTAAATAACTCTGACCAGGACCCCGACGGGTATACGTTGTCATCATACGAGAGACAGGGGTATTTGCTCGAAGTAACGAATTGAAATCATTTATCTGCTCAAATTGGTTGGAAAGCACAGACTGTTTATAAAATTAATTGTTAGAATTATTAAAATTAAATAATTATTAAGAATTATTAATTATTAAGAATTATTAAATTAATAAGAATTATTTAAGAATTACTAAAATTATTAGGATTAAAAGGTATTTAAATTTATTCACCTGAAACATCGTCAATAGTAAATGCTCTTCTCTACTCTCATATTGATTCCCATACAGCGTAAACATTACCGTCTGTAATAAGGTATCGATTTCGGTAAGACTAACATGGCGACATAGATTAGCAATGTGACGTGGTTCCGTCTGAAGGAGAAAAAATAAATTTCCATATTGTTGTAATTTACGATCATCTGGAAAAATTCCATCTGTTGGCTCTAAGTCTTCAAGATGACTTTCCACCTCCTGTTTCTGTTATTTATACGCATTGATTTAACGAGTAAGAATAAAAATTATGACATTAATAAATTATGCAAAAAATATGAAATTATGAGTAATTATTGTTGAATAGTAAAATACCTCATCTAATGCCATGCGATTTTGAATTAATAACGCTATTCGAGAGTCCAAATATCGAACATCTCGTTCCAGAACGAAATTTTTTTTCGATTGTGCTGATATTCTGCTTTTCAATTCTCGTAAACGTCTTTGTGCTTTTTTTTTTTTTTAATTTACGTTTAGATGGACCAATACATGGCTCTTTCAAAAAAGGATCTGGTTATTAACATAAC